AGCCTTCCCCTCATCCACTAAGCAGGTCACCTTGTCACAGGAGACCAGGTCAGTGAAACAGGACCTCCCTTTCATAAACCCATGCTGGCTGAGCCTGATCCCCCAGTTGTCCCACATGTGCTGTGTAATGGCACTCAAGATGATATGCTCCATGACCTTTCCCAGCACCGAGGTCAGGCTGACAGGCCTGTAGTTCCTCGGATCCTCCTTTGACCCTTCTTGTAGAGGGGTGTGACATTTTCTATCTTCCAGTCATCTGGGACCTCCTCGGTTGACCAGGACTTCTGATAAATGATGGAGAGTGGCTTGGCAAGCTCCTCTGCCAGCTCTCTCAGTATCCTTGGGTGGATCCCATCTGGCCCCATCGACTTCACTCTTGGTGTTTATCCACACTCACACTTGCTCCGAAGCTGTGGTCAACCCAAATGGAAGCTTATGAATTACTTCTCCACCTGGTTTAATCTGCCCACATTGGTTACACTGAGCACACTACTGCCAGATTTCTGCCAAACGTAGATATTTTTTCAGATCCAGTTGTGAAAAGAAGAAAACCACTGTATTGCTGTACAACGTAGTTTTATTTTTTCAATGAAATGCCCTAGCATCATAGAACACATTTTCTAATCTTGAAGCCAGCAAGATTGGAAAAAAAAAGAAAAAAAAAATCAAACTATATAGACTTATCCCTACACATAATTTCCATACTGAGACATACATTCAGAGGAAAAAAAAACACCTAGAATTAAAACGTAAGCAGACATTATTTACGCAGCTCTCTTAAAAATAAACTGGACATGTCATACAACTCACATATGGTGCTTTGCTAGTATAATATGCTACAAATAGAATTATTCAAATGCAACTATGCAGCTTTTCTATTACCTAAGACCTTTTCATTTTATTAGGTTGCAACACCTTTATTATTTACTTCACACTTCATTACCATACTACAGAACAATCTTTTCTCCTTTTCTGGCGGCTTGTTTCTCAGAAGGGGGGCCTTCACTGCGGCTTTCTTTGGAAACAGTTTCAGATATTAAAAATATTCAAAGCATTTCAATATACATTCACAACTAGATTAAGCCTCCATTTTTCAAGTAAGGGTCTCATGACTTGCTAGTAAATTAATGGAAAGAGCTGGTTAGTATTTATTCCTGTTTGCATTTATGAGAATGTGACCTGGATAGCTGTAATGCCTAATAAATGCCGTCATCTGTTGGTGAGCTGAGTCTGCACCATCACATCCTGCACAAGAATTACAGTAACTTGAAGTCTGGGTTCTCTCGCAATATTCATGGATAGACCAAAATTACTGTAGAACTTTTTAAACAAATGACACTTCAAAAAAATATTTGCATTTGTATAACTGCATAATCTCATTTTCAATGAGGTTCTTAGGTCAAAAGTACTATTTCACTTATTAAACATGGCTTTAAAAATACAGTATACATAACATCTACGTTACAAATCTCTGAAAAACATTGGATCAATCAGCTTTCCAACTCATTGCATTAATGAGGAAAGTAAACAGTAGTACTTTTGGAAAAGTATTCAAGTATTTCCCTGAAATACTATATAACGAAAAACAGATCCTAAACTTTGTATGACTGTACTTTAAACAAATATCATTTGCAAGTGCTTTTTGTCATATAGAGCAGTATGAATAACACTTTGTAGCAAAGATATAGCACACCATTTTGATATTACACAAAACTGGAATGTAAATAATTTCAACAGAAAAGAAAATATCAGCCATTTATAACAATTTTCAAGTGCTTCAGTAATAAACTGACCAATCACCATGGCTTACACAGAGCAAAGACATGAGAGACATCCAACTAATACAAGCTGAATGACAGAAGTGCCAATAAATATACATGAATAGAGAATCATTAGCTGTTCAGACAAAAAAAAATTCAGATGCAATGAGTTTTAGAGAGAACTACACATTTAAGAAAAGATAGAAGAGAGCAGGGGCTAACTTCTGATCTTCAAACAGGAATAAATATGTACGAGAAAAGCAAAATTTAGCCCCAAGGCTACACACAGAACACACATGTGTCACAATACACAAATCCATACACAACTTAAATAACCACTCCATAGCTATACACGATAGTCTAATGGCTTTTTGCTATAAAAACAAATCAGCACAGTGAATTCGTGATTTATCAGATGCCAGTTTCTTCCCTTGCTTTCACAAAACAAATTATTTTGTTTCATATTTAAACAGATGTTATTTAAAAAAATGTAATCATCAAGTCATATTTTTAAACTTAACATTCCAACATCTTATTTTGAGAAGACATTTTCACATATGTAGCAGAATCTCCACAGAATTGTGTACTGAAGAGGGAAGCTTTTCATATGTTACTTTTAGATATTTTAAAAGATTTAAAACTTGCTGGTGTTTCAGAGATATTTGTATTTTCCTTTGTCTGTGCCTTCCTGGTATTATAAGTATCCCTGCGAGTTGCTTGCAAGACATTTCAGTTGCTGTGTGTGGTATCTGGTATCTTCCAAACAGTCATAAACCCCTTTATAATCCCAAAAAGCATCATGCAAGGAAGCCTTTATAAATAGAATATATAGGATAAAGTATGATCTGTATACAGATGTGCTTTTATTTTTCCAAGTATTTCTAAACTCTTATTGTTATTACTTAAAGCCAGGAATGTGTGTTTGAATTGCATTGATAAGTTGCAAGGTATAGTCAGAATTACAAAATGAAAGATTTTACTAAAAAAAAAAAGATGAGAATGACAACACTATTGTCCAGCATTTAAGCCACATGCAACTACATAACACTCCCAGCAGAAAACGTCTTCTCAGACCCTTCTTGTCTTGATATCTTGGTTTGATGACAATGGAAAGTCCAAGGTTTTATAACATTTTAATATTATTGCAACACAACTGCTAAATTAGCTCTCTAGAAAAGCACAGAGAATTTATCAGTCATCGTGAATACATATATATATGCCAATTGTCTCTTTTCTAACATAACTTAGATTACATTGCTCCAAGATATACTTCAATGACTACAATGTTTTAAAAAAAATGACACAATGCAATAAGATGTCTAAAATTATACTGAAGCCATCAAAAAAAAAATCTAAAATTTTAAAATACTTGTCAATTTGACTAAAATGCATATTTACTCAATTTCCTTGAGCTTTTATTTTTTCTTCTCCTCATTGGAGGAACAATGTCTATAGTAATTGTTCAACACCACTCTGGTTGTAGGCAGCTTCATCTTTACAGTTTTCCTCGATTCCCCTTGCAAACAGTTTCATTAACTGGCAGTGAACCCTGAAAAATATGGAAATCCATTAATAAGAAATAAATTACTACTATACATTTAATTCTAATAATCCATGAATTTCAAGCAGTTGGACAAAATTCCTTGCTCCAGACTACCGAAACTGCGCTCTCATTCTTGATACAATACTCTCCTGCAAAGAAGGCTGCTCCCCTTTTCCATGAAAAAAGTTCTATGGGGCACTTAGATGAGCTCATCTTATACAATATTTATAAAAATCACTTTGGACTGCTAAGTGATTATGTTTTAATGGAACACACTTGCATGTAAATAGTTAGTATTGTGGTTTTGGTTCCCTTTGTTCTAAAAACAACAAACAAAAGTGATCAGCCAAAAAAAAAAAAACCACCCAAACAAAAAAGAAAAAAGCCCTTCAAATTTCACAAACCTCTATTCCCTTCTAATCTGATTATTTGCACAACTGCAAACTTCTTTCTCCATATGCTAAGGCTGGAGATAAGACTCTGCTCTGTGTGTTAAAAAACTACAAAGTATGGGACATATTCAGTATTTCTGCAAGACAAAGATGCTTCTTTAAGCTTAAATTTAACAGGAAAAGCTATTGCTCTGAGTAATGAGGTACTCCGCTCATTTAAAAAAGAATCCTCCCAACACCACCTTTACTTTCAGCACTTCAAGCACGCAATATCACTACCTAAGAAGTAAGTAGGACTTCAAAGGTAGGGCCATCCATTTATCTCAGCCAGAGTGATCATTTACAATATACATGGTTGGACTATTCTCCGGAAAGGACTCAAAAATGTACCAAAAAAATTAAGTTTATTATCAGAAGACTCGAATTTGCTATGCAGAGGCACCTTTTTGGGATGTCTTCATGAGCATCTTTAAAATCAGTGAATAGACTTAATATGTTTTCTGGTACATGGAGAGAAAAATTGATGCTTACCTCACTTCAATTGCGGAACTGTCCAGAGTTTCTCCATCGCAATTCCAGGTGCTATTAGCAATATTACAGCAACAGGCTGGATGATCTCTGCAGAACTGGCCAAAACGTTTCTTTCCTATGTCCGTGACACTGCTTTCGTTGTCTTCTGAAAGCTTCGATGTAAACTGAAAACTCTTCACCCGATAAACATCTACAAATGAGAAGTCAAACTGCAAAGAAAAAAATAAATCAAAACAGGCAATTAAAATTAGTTAAATACATTTGATGTGTAAAGCAACTCTGCATGCAGCATTTTGTATTCGAGAAAGCCTGTCCACTCCAATTTTCTAGAGAAATTTACCTGAGGCATAGAGTATTTTTGTTTTTAAAAAACTGCACAAGTCAGAAACAGTAACGCAATAATGGAACCTTACTTTTCAGCGGTCCTCTTTAAGTAGCTGCAGTACTGCCACTTTATAGATAATCAGGTAACAGGTTCTGAGATTATGAGTACACGGGGTATAAAAACTATTTTAAAAACCCTATAAAAACTATTATAACGTGGAATCAAAGTCAAAAAGGTTTGGATTGGATCTTTGTACCATCCTCAGGACCTGTTCAACTACAGTCCTTAAGATACATGGGCTTTTCTGAAAGCCTTCTGCTTCTGCATTTGGAACAATGCCCTGAAGGTGAGAATTCCACGGCAGCGCAATCAAATCACAGAGCTGGGCGTATATGAAAATAAGAATAGCGGGCAATATTATTACATTCCAAGAAAATAAAAATAATTTTAACTAGTTAATTCAGCTAGAAAAAGTAGGACAATTAAGAGATTGCTCTTATAACAGAGGTTGCATATTTACACTACAATATTGTACAAAAGCTTTAAAACAAGCTTTGGAAATTAAAGGAACAATCAAATTTGAGGGTGCCCCCACCTGCCCTGAAAGCAACTTAACTGATATGGACTTAAACATTTAGCAAGCTGTAATAAATACAGACATGTCATTTAGCAAAGGCAATGGAGCATGTCTGTGTGCATCTATGGGAGGGTGGTGGCAAGGAAAGAAACAGTTTACCCATGAACTAGTCTGTATTAATGTACGGTCACCTTTTTCTTCGTTTTCTTTTCACATTTTCTTAAGTTTTCAAACAGGGTTTCCCACTATTATGGTAGACGCTAACCTGGGATGAGGACATATGTACAACCCTGCATTTAATTTACACTGCAAAATCAACATATCCCAGAGAGAAACAGTGGGGAAGCACTGGGAGGGGAATGACCACAGTGACAATCACAAAAAGCATCAGAGTAGAAGGGACCTCCTAGGTCTTAAGTTCCTTCAGCTTTTAACCATAAACAAACTGTGAAGCTGTCAAACTCCATAGTTGAAGCAGTGGCTCATGGATACAACGAGGCTCACTAAGCAGTGCGCTAGTTCAAACAGCTTAGCTGCAAAAACTGGTATCCAGGGCTGCGCAGAGCCACCCATGAATGCTCTCATGTCTCCAGTCTAAGCAGAATGTAGCCTCTTGATAAATGTCAAAGCCAATTTGAAAGGCAGCCAGGGAAGGCTTCAAATAATCAAAAATATCAGGGGAAGAGGAGACTGAGAATAGCAGGAAGGAGGAATACAGACAGAAACACAATGTCCCAGGGGATGGTAATGAGGAAACACAGGAGAGAGAATCTATACTAATTCTTCTACAGAGGAAGAATAGCATCATAAACAAGTGAGATTTATTATTGCTTTTATAACTAGATATGACATTAGTCCATTGTTCAGATAATTTCCAGAACAGGTTAATAATACCAGGTTATGACAAATATTAAATGTGTGTATTCACAGCCATAGCTCTGGTTTCAACAGATACTACAATCCAAAGCAGTGATGAATCTTCCCGTGGTTATCCTGACAGCTACAACATATGCAAGGAATAATTCTGAAGCTGAATGCATAAAGCTCATATCCTGGTCACATATACACATTAAAATTCTGCTAAAAGCCTGCAGTTTACAATCAAACTGCAGCTCTAGTAACTTTCTTCTAAACCACATTTTTATACAGTTTACAAAAAGTGATTTATTATTCTTCACTACATCTTCTACCTCACCTACATTATACTGCTGTGAGAAGTTTTTCATGATGAATACAGGGGGGCACAGTTGTGATAAAATCACTTTAAATATTGTCCAAACAGCAAATATATGGAAAATGTTACGAAACAAGTTTTCAATTAGCAAAAGTGGAATTTTGCTAGAATGCTGTGGCCAAAGACTTGACTTAGGTAAAATGATTTTTTTTTAATGGTACATATGCTGAGATTGTCACCCAAAATATAAAAACTTTTTAAAAAACAAAACAAAAAACAAAACTGCTTTGTAGATATTGGTTTTGTCATATAAGAATATCGATATTTACAACTTAGACTGACCCTGGAGAATTCACTGTCAAAGGGAATACACACCTGATCCTCTTGGTTTGTATGTCTGACAAGATACCGTAGAAAATCAAATCTGGAGCATTTACGAACTAGAATGAGGTCAGCTGAACCATCTGCCAAATGGGCTGCTGGTGAAAGACCTTTTGGACTTCGTGGACAGGCACAGCTCATATTTACTGCATTGATGGCTAAAAATTTCCCTTTAATAACCTTCCATTCTTCTTCATCTTCTGAAACACATCAATAAAGGCATAGAGATACGTTATTATTTGATCTACTCACAAGAACACTAAAAAGCAATCATTCTTGGCAACTTAAAAGTTTTTACTGGGTATATTCATGCACTATCAATACACATCTAAAATAAACAGCATTTAAAAAAAAATAATCTATTTTTCATATACTAACAGAGAAAGTTGCTTTCTCCCTTCACAGGCTGTGATTATGTCCTAAAACTGCTCACCATTTCTGACATACACATGTCAAATTCAGGATCAATGCTATTTGGGTAAATCCACAAAGCTTTAGGCAGGGACAAGACAGAGGCAAGTTCCAACCTTTGTAGTGTGAAAATTCAGGGGGATTTTTAACTTTTTAAAAATTTTATTCTTGCTCGTCAACATGTTAACCTTAAATAAACAATAACCCAAAGACAGTGGTTTAGTATTTGGCTTCTAAATCAATATCCCTCTCCTGCCTCAATGCCACAAATTATATTTAAAAAAAAAAAAAAAAAAAAAAAAAAAGACAACCAGGGAAGAGATGGCTCAGGGTTCAGCAAGGACCAGCAGGCAGCAGATCAGGAGTCTGTTTCTACCCCACCCCTAAATGTCTGAAGATGAATACTATTAACAAAGTTGAACTCTCCTGTGCATAAATCTTCAGAGATTTCTGGAAAACAGTACAAAAGTCTGTTTTCAAAACATGAAACCATTCTGTTAGAGATTAGACCTAGACTGAGCTTAGATGTATGACGGCATCAATACTACCAAGAGCAGAGGAATTTTCTGGAACAAAGAAACACTGGCAGGCACTGCACAAAGCTGTCATCTAAACTGTATTTTCTTGAATATGGATAAAAATAGATTAAAAATGCCTTTGTATTTTTAATTACACATAATCACCTTCCTCACTACAATAAGAGAAAGCCATAAAGCAGCCATAACACTCCTTTTCTCCTCCCAGTAGAAGTGGACTCATATTTCAAATGAACAACTCCACAGAAGTAATGATTGTAGAATAGTCTATGGAGATACTCATGGTTCTAAGAATGGAGTTCAGGAGTGAAGTGCCACTGTTGATGATGGGGGTAAAATTAAAAAATGAACAAAATACAATAAAGTTTGTTTATATAAGCTTGTTAAAGTTTGATCATCAAATCACAGCAAGGTAGAGCTTTTGAGGCATATTAACTGGTACAGACTTAGAAATCTAACATTCAGTTCCCCACATTTGGGTTAACTTACAGTTATTTTCAAGGTGCTTCTTTGATGGGACTATAGATGACACTTATGCTATAGATTTCATGTCCTGAAATTCTGATATTCTTTACTGTCTTAGTTTTAGGAACCTCACACATACTCTAGATAATCATTATTACAATCGTAATGTTTGGAAAGTATTCTGTAGTTGTTTTTTGCTCTTTGAAATTTTCTTGCTTCCTTGAATTCTTATTCATTGGAACTTCTTACTATCCACTCTTTCGTAACAGAACCAAGAAAAACAGAATTCAAGGAAAAAGAGTAGGATTATAATGTGAGAAAAGACTTAAAGGAAACTAAAAACTTTATTCTTTTTCCATCTAGACTATCCTCTCTATCTCCTGAAAAACAAATCAGTAATAACAAGAAAAAATTCAGCTCTTAAATTCAACATTTTTGCATCATTTGCCAGAGTGGCTTTAGTATTGCTTGCTTTACTGCTCATCTTTTTATATTGCTTTCAAACAGGACATTACAGAAAGAAATAATTTAAATCAGATTCAAAATGCGTATCTTAAGAGAGATGAGAAAGACTTAAATGTCAAACTATACAGAATGACTTTGTTCAGGCTGCAGGCAAATGACGAGGCCCTGCTCTGAGATGAAGGTAACAGAACAGAACATAAGAAACTACTGGAACTAGAAACATCTGTGTCCAGAACTATACAAGTGCTTATTTACAAGAAAACCAGGCATTTTCTGATATACAAACAACAAAATGAAAACAACACCCTTTACTGATAAATGCTTCTGTTGTTTATCTGAGAAGCATTAATAATTTAGTCTATAGTGTGTCTAGATATGCGTTAACTTTTGAACTATGCTCACTGTAATAAATAAGTCTCAAATTACTTAAGGTAGAATGCTTATATATGTAACCGTAATTTTTTCACATGGTGGAAAAGTACCATTCAGTATAAATTTCAGCGTGTTACTCAAAAAAAAGTTTCACTGTTCAAGTAAGAACAAAGTCAGGGTATTTATCACATTTTAAATGACCAACTGTTTTCATAACCATTCTGCAGGGTGCATCACTGTAATAGCACAAATTATTCACCCAAAATATCTTTCACACAGTAGAGCAATCATAAGCAGGGAGAGCATAAATGGCACTCTCTTCAACTGTCTATTGCGTATATATATTCTGTAAGTTGCTGAAATCAGCATAAAGTACCAACACTCAAAGTTTACTCAGCACACACACAGATTTCTGCACAATACAAAGAAATATGTTCAGTGACAGTCAATGCAAGCATCCCTCTAAACTTATCTAACTGTACACAAACCAAGTGGGCACAATGAAGGAGTCAGCCAACACACTCTGCTGAGTAAAAAGCTTATCTGAGGTGGCGATTTAAAATCAAGAGTAGCTGATTGTTATTGTTTGCTTAACAGTGCTGCATGGAGAAGAGACTGGACTGCAAAGAAAGCCAGCTACCAGAAGTAAAATGGATTTAAGTAAACAATATCCTACATCATCAGCTGCTTAATGTCTTGTGCAATGCTGGCTAAAGCAGTCCTGATTGCTCATTAACCTGTAGCTTTCTTCTGCCTTTGCTCCTTTGCTGGATCAAAACTAACAAAATGGCAGATTTAAGAAAATTACCAAACAAAAAACCCCACAAACAAAAGAAAAAAGGGTGACAATATCTAGCTACAGTTATTTCTCAAAAAGATAAATTTTTTTCTTACCAAAAAACCTACTATCAGATTTAGTTTCTACAAAAATATTTTGTAAAGCAATTTCTTTAGCTGAATCTGGGCATAAATTAAAACAACTCAAGAAATACTCCAATCTGGCCATCTGTTGACTATATCAAAGATCTGAAAGCAGTAGTGGGGATGAAAGCACTATATATAAGCACGTGTAACAGGAATTCAAGTTGGCATAGAAATTTATACACAGTCTTTATGCTACCAATGAATCTCTATAGTATGATGATACTCTTTGCTAACAAACGGCTAGAACCTGGCACAGATACTGTGCAAAATAACTGTAATTATAGGATAATCTAGGTCATAAGGACCAATGTTTGTGTCAAGAAAATGATGGTTTTGTGCACTGGGCTCTACAAGGAAAAAAAAAAAAAAAAAGAGTAGAAGCAGAAGGAAGCAGAAGCAAGCACCCACTGGAAGGCTGCCTGCTGTTTAAGAGGGGCTTAACCAAGATGACAAACTGAGACTAGAGGCAAAACTCGGCCAACTGAATCCGCATATCTTACTCCAGCAAGGCCACAAGCGTATCTGTATCAGTGCCTCCCATTAGGATGCAGTATTCAGACATAAAAGAGATACAACTAGGAGGATGACTGCGCAGAATCCAGTATATAACAGCTGTTTTAACAAAAGGAAGGAAAAGTTATGCCCATAAAAAAAATTCATGGAAGTGTGCGCAGGAGTTGGAACGGGGGAGGAATGAGAGAATAAGGATAGCATAACTTGAGAAAGAGGAGAAAAATCTCATTTATCATTTACACTGAGTATTGGTGAGGTGTTGTACAGAAAGACTTAAGTCCACTAGATTGGTTATTAGTTTTCCAAGTTCACTGCCTCGTATTTATTTAATAAACGGCTTTACATGGGTGACTTTTGTGCTAACAAACACAAATTTTTAATCCTGATCTATTCCAGAAGTTATCTTAATGAACTGCTTCCTTCTATACTACCTCACAGTTTATCAGTTAAGTCCTTCTCACAAAAAAGAACGGAGTCCTAGCTCACAGAATGTATCTTTCTTACAGAAAAGAAACCCAACACATTGAAATATACAAGTAATAAGTATAATTTTCTTGGAATTTTCTGAGGTTTGCGTGGAGGAGACACCTTACATATTTTTCACATATTTACATGTATTTTCCTTAAAGAAACAATGGATTATCTAGTAACTCACAATGTTTAAAAAACAAAACACACACACACACTTGAACTGATATATTCTGAAAAATATTTTGTATAATACTACACCATCTTACTTTTTATGACAAATTACCTTTACGTTTTAATCCACATTCCTTGTGCTGTTCTGCCAGCTGTTGCTCACTTTCCTTGCAAATGTAACATCTGAAAACAAAAATACCATTCAGTTCCTTAAAACAAAACTATTATTCAGTTTAACGTCTTTGTTTTACCCAATCATTACAGGACCTTCCCCCACCGCAAGATGCAGCACTGCACCGACAACTCTGATATGGCATGAATCATGATAGCCCTGCAGGTGGTATAGGTACTTAAATACTGTGCTGAAGATTACTGGATGTCAGAAATAACAGCGTTACAGAGCCATAAGATCACATAGGTTGGAAGGGACCTCTGATGTGGTCCAAACCTCTGCTCAAAGCAGGTCTTATAGGATCAGGATGTTCCGTGTCTTGTTCAGTCAAGTTTTGAACATCTGCAAGGGTAGAGTCCACAAGACCTCTGGGCAACCTGTTCCAATATTTAATTGCAGTAACAGTGAAAGACATTGACATACTGGAGCCAGTTCTTCATTTCACTAGCGCTGAGTACAGGGAAAGAATCACTTCTCCTGACCTGTTGGCTTCACTCTTGCTTAGAAAGCCCTACATATAGTTGGCCTCCCTTGCTGCAAGGACACACTGCTGACTCAGGTACAGCTGTTGTCCACCAGGATCCCAAAATTCTTTTTGACAGAGCTGCCTTCCAGCCAGTCAGTGCCCAGTCAGTACTGTTGCATGGGACTATTCCACCCCAGATACACGACATTGGCCTCTCCTGAACTTCAGGAGGTTCCTATCAGCCACTTCTTCAGCCCACCAAGGTCCCTCTGAATAGCAGCCCTGACTTTCAACATGTAAACCACTCCTCCCAATCTGGTATCATCTATAAAACTGCTGAGAGTGCACTCTCTGCCACCTTGCCAGTAGTTAATAAAGATGTTGCACAGTGTTAGCCCCAGTACTGATCCCCGAGGTACACCATTAGTAATTGGCTGCCTATTGGACTTGGTACTCAACCTTTCTAGGTAGTCTAGCCAGTTTTCCATCTATCCACTTATCTAGTCCACACCTCATCAGCTTGGTTTTAAGAATACTACAAGAAACAGTACCAAAGGCCTTGCTAAAGTCAAGGTATGTAACACCCACTGTTTCACCCTCATCCACAGGCTTGGGGACCTATAAGGCTTGGGGCAGACTACATCGGTGAAAACTGGGGCAAAGGATTCATTTTCCAGCCTTCTCCGTAACTTTTTATCAGCCGGTTCCCCATACCACTAAGCAGCAGGCCCACAGTTCCTTTAGCCTTTTTTTTTTGTGATTGGTATACTTATATAATCCCTTCCTAAGAAGTAACACCCTTCACATCCCTCACTGATTTCAACTCCACCTGAGGTTTGGTTCTTCCAAAGTAACCCATTCCACTTCCACCTTCTCTTTACTTCTCAGATCCTTGCTCATCCATGTTGGTTTTCTATCATGCTTAATCAAGTTTCTGTGTATCAGAATGTGCTTTGAGGAGGTACCAACCAACTCTCACGGGCCTCTTCGTCCTCCATGGCAGTCTCCCATGGAATCTTGCCAAGATTCACGAATAAACCAAAATCTGCTCTCCTAAAGTTCAGGGTTGTAATTCTACTTTTTGTATTGCTTATTTCTCTCAGGATTTTAAACTTTATAATCCCAAAATCACCACTGCCAAGACTGCCCTCAACTGTCACATCCCCCACTTGCTTTTTCTGTAACAAGACCAGCAGAGCATTCCTCCTAGTCAGCCTGTTAATCACCTGCATGATCACTGTCATCACCACACTCCAGGGTTCTCCTGAATTGCTTGTGCCCAGCCCTATTGGCCTTTCAGCAATTATCAGGATGTATAAAATCCGCCGTGAGGCATCAGGCAGTCTTTACTCCCTGACTGAGACCCGGATGACAGCTTTCTCCCTCTGGAGCTTCCCCTGCCCTGATGCATCAGGATAGTTGCTCCAGCTAGTACTAGAGACTGTGATCTGCAGCACTATTATTACTGCACAGTCTCAACAAGTTCCACGTAGTTTCTGGCCAAAGTTTCTGGCTCCTCTGTATCCTACTGTGTTGTTTGCTGCTGTCACAACTACTATATCTCTGGTAGCTACATTCATATATGAAGAAGAATGATAAATACTAGTGCATAACTTCAAGCAGGTGAAAGCAAAGAGAAAGGAAGGAACACTGGGAGATTAAGGTAGGCCCCCTGATTGAAGAAACAAGCGAAGAATATCACACAGAACTTACACAGCATAGTAGTAGTCTATAAAAAAAGGCTAAATAAGCTGCTTCCTGAGAGGAGCTATCCTCAGGACAAGGCATGCCAGCTGTTGTCATGGCACTACAATAATCGCTAAAATTGCTAGATCCAATTACAATGTGAACATCTGAGAATTTTTGAGTAATTGTTTCCATTTGTAGAAGCTATGAGGCATCCAGACTTTTCATTTATTAGCAGTAGCACAGCATAATACCCTCAGCATTTGTAACTGGGTACTGTGCTCTTATACTTTGCTTCATTTAAAATTGGGGGAGGAGGGGACCAGCTAACAAAATTTTACTATATTTTTATTTACTGACCTGATAAAATGAGGTGTTCTCTTTAATGAGTCAATAAACTTTTTTAAAAGCTTCTCTCTTTCATAGTAAATGTTTTGATGTTAAAGACAACATTTCTTCACTTCTGTTCATGTACAGGCCTTTTCAAATAGTTCATGTCAAATATCCAGAGATAAACATTAGCCTACCCTGTTCTGCAGCTATCTTTATCTCGTGGAGATCCCAGTGTGTGTTTTGCTGGTTGAAAAGAAACTGTTCCTTCATAGTAATGATGAGAAAGAAAAGTCTTGAAGCCTACATAAAAAAGGTATTAAGCAGCATTAAGTCATTATAAATCCACATTGCGAACACGTCTGCATGTATCCCTTGATTGTTCCTTCTCTAAGGACTGCAAAACAACGGTTGCTCTCCTCAAGCTCGTAGCTCTGTGTTATGATGTTTTAGACTGTAAAGGACAAGGAAATAACCCCTTCAACTTTTTAACATTTGCCAATAGTGCCATTACTTTGCTTGACATCTTTAAGAGCCAACTAAAAATTTGAGCTGTACATCACTGCTGAATCTTAAAATTAGCCTACACTAAAACTCTGCTTTTGTATCTTCTTCTTCTAACACAAAACAAATGAAAGGCAGCAAAAAATACCTTCCAGTAGCATAGGATTTGTCCAAGTACTAGCTAACTAGGCTAAACCACTCAGCTCCCTCTATAATCAGTGCTGGAAGAAGGACAAAATTAACAATTCATTCCATCAGCCAAATGTCCAAGACAGGAGAGTGCCTACCTCTCTCTAACTGAAAAGATATTACTTTTTAGGCAGCTATCACTAGGTGACATACAGCAACACATTTCTATTAACAACCCAGAACAGCACTAGCAATTTTATTAATAAAAAAAGCTTATTAAACAAATTTGAATTAGGGTTGCTTCCAACATAATTTATAACAGTTCAGTATAAACTTTTTAGTTCTTTATAGAGGTCATAAAATACTTAAACTATCAGTTAATAAATTAACCATGCTATATAGTCAAATTCAACACAACTTTAATGAGCACACTGTTAGTGTTATCCCCCGAGTTAGGGAGCTTTACATAATGTGATCCAATGTACTTGGTACCACAAAGAGTTTAAAATCAGGTTCAGTATGCCTCTTATGTTTAAAAGCTTCCGAGAAGCTTGGTTTGGAGAGAGCACACCAACTGCTCCAATATGTTTACATGCTGACAAAAGAATGTAATAATTACACAAGTTACCTGAGTAGTCGTATCTCATCGGACCCATCCACCGCTTCTTTTCACTATCTTTTAATATATCTCCATAAAAACCATAACCCAGCAATGATACAGAGTACTTCAAAAACGTGTTGTTATGATGTATAGAAGAGACATCCAAAGGCTGACAGTCACCTATGAAGATCAGAAATGCAAGGTTCTATTAAGTGTTATTTTGTTTGCAGCTGCAAACATAATAGTAACTTTAATGTTACAGATTTTTTTAAAATAAAAAATATATGTTGTATTTATGTCATTATATTTATATGTCATATATCCATAAATATTTCTTATACATGCAGAAAGGGAAAATTAATTTTTTAATACTCACTTCATTTAATATTTAAAAAGCATTAAGCACGAAGTGAGAAGAAAGGTCGGTATGCTAAAAATACAATGAATTTACACTCATTTACCAGGTAGCAGTAGGAGGAGATGTTATAGAAGAGATCAATGCAGTATCTGTACATCTACCAGATACTACCTAATTGTTTATGTCATACTATCAGAGGATAATTCAACCTGGAAGGGGCCTTAGGAGGTTTCTCATCAAACCTCCCAAAGTAGGTTCAGCTATGAGGTCAGATCAGGTTACTCAGGATTTACCCAGTCAAGTCCTGAAAATCCCTAAGAACAGAGAGTATACACCCTCTCTCATGTCCTCATAATGTAAGCTTTGGAGTGGTGGTGGGTTGAGGGGGGGAGTTGTTTCTTTGCTTGCTTGGTTGGTTTGGGTTCTTTTTTTCTTTTTTTCTTTTTAATTCTGTTTCATTTTATGCCTGTTGTCTCTTATCGTCCACCATGGACTACTGTGAAGAACCCTTTACATAAGTGAGAGATGCTCTTAAAAATCTAAATACATGTGTATATATGCACATTTAATAATCCAGCTAAAATACTATGATATACTAAGTCCATATCTCTCTCTAATCCTAGTCCAATCGCTCGAACTCTACATATGCTGAACAGATTTAACCGTAGGTTAGTAACAGAGAACCACATGTGTAAACCTTTGCAACACGAGCTCCTAAAACTGCAACTGTTAAGCACTCAATAACAAATGATAATGAAATAATCATCACTTGGAAATTCTATCCTTTATGCTTAGGCAACATCGTTATAACTAAAGACTATCTTGCACAACTTTTCAAATTCAGTATTAAGAACTGGGCGACTATGATTCTTCAGTATGTGGCAAGATAGGATGGACATCACAAATCACAACGCACTGAATATGTGAAGCTGTCTCCTTCAGCCCCCGTGCAGTTCACGGACTCCATTACTAGAGGACTTTGAGAAGTGGCGATGCCAGCATCCCTACTGATGACAACATATCAAAAAGCATTGACTGAAGAGTAGTTGTTTTCCTCCCTAGTTCCTCCTCAAATATATGACTTACAGATGGTAAAAATGGGGAATTATCAGCTAATTCCCCATTCTGTCAAGCAGAAGCCATACTTCTAACTTGGCATGGAAGCATTGAATTGCACACGACAACTGGGCAACTAGTACAAAATACTACTATTCAAGAGTACATGCACTTGTCACAGCTTTCTCTAAGAGAGAGGGAGATATACAGTCCAACAACTTACACTGCTTATTGTATTTTACTGCTATTTTCAAAAGCATGCCAGAACACATGAAAACTTAAGCAACAGACATAACATTTCAAAACTTTATGATCCTTTGAAAACAATGAATTACAGTAGAAAAAGCAATTCTGTATTTCAAATCAGAGACTTAAATCCCAGACAAAAACTTTGTATTTCAACTCAGCCATTATGTTCAAATTATATTTCACAAACATACAGGAAGAACTAAATTAATTACTTTTTTTGGCTATTTTAATAATTTTCATAACAAAACAGTGAACTGTGACCACCCACCTACAATAATATGAAGAGCTGATGTTACTGGATCAGAAATGCCAACAGTTGAATAGCATATGCAATCTGTTGATCCTGAAAAATAAAAAAATGAGAGATTAATTCATATCTTTTCAAAACAAATATTATTGGCATGGTCCTCCAAATGAAAGCATTATGTTCCTTTGGCCTGCCCCTTTCTATTTCATGGAACAAAGTAAATACAAGGATACAAATATTATGCTTTAAATTGTAACATTCCCCACCCCCACAATAAGTAGAATTTATTTCTCTCCAAAGATTTTCACTGTATAAGCAACAAATATATAGCAGTTAGTAAAGGGAAATAAGCTAATTCATATGAAAAATTTCAGGATTACATTACAGCTTTCATATCAATTCAGGATGCAGGGGAAGGCAGGCATATGCTGATTCTCCTTTGCTTAAGATTTCTTACTCATTGAGATCCAACGACAAGAAGTTGACCGGTCTCCTGTTTCTGGGGGGAGTGATCTAAATTCCAGACTGTCAACATCCCCTCCTCCTCCAGCTGCATCTTAAACCAGAAACTCCTGCTTAGTTTTATTATTTGAAAATTAGTAAATACTTGCTTTCAAGAATCAGTTTATAGATAAGGGAGCAAAGTGAATAGAGATGTTCCTTTACAGTCTTGAGCAAAATACCTACAAGAAGAAAGGGGGGAAGCTTTAGGTTTCACCAATATTCTGTCTTTGTTACTAACTACCTTCAGGCCACTCATCACTCAGTATGTCCACTCAGTATTTTAGGTGCTGTTTAGAGACCGGTAATTCTCCTTTATCCCTATAAAAAAAAAAAAACAATCTAAGAGCCTAATGTAGGGTTCTGAATCCTATTCTGCAGCAGGGACTTGAAAGTCAGGGCCAGACATACCAAAGCATTTTTGTTGCAGCATCTAAATCTGAATTTATCTTGTAGTTTCTCCCATCCCTTCCCTGAAATTGAATTCCTTTAAAGTCAAGGCTGGATATCTGAAAACAAAAACTTACTTTGTCCACATATACATTCTCAGATTTGCTACTAATACACTAGATGTAGAGCAGCTCAGATACAGAGTACTTCATTTCTGAGGCCTAATCAAATTGAAATAGAAAACTAAAAATGGACGAACGAGCAGTCACTACTTAAAATCCCCTTTGTTTTTCTTCTCACTTTGAAAACAGTCAGGGCATATACAGTTATCAATAGGAGCAAAGAAAATCCTTTCCCCTCCAACTCCCTTCTCAGGAAATGGACACCACGTCCCCTACAAGTGAAGGGCATAAGAGAAGCTTCTATGAAGTAAATGCTGTGCAGAAGCCTGCCACCGCGAACAAGAAGCAGCTCCAGGAGCCAATTAAAGATAATATAAATATAACAGAACTGCAGAACAAAAGAAACTGTGACTAAAGAGATCTCTCTCTACAAGGTCGAGGTTCAAGGTGGTGAAAGTGTACCACAAGTATATGCTGTTGCACAGGAACTGGGACTCCAATTTCTCTCAGTACCATAACAGACAAGGTACACCGATGATGTTATCATGCCACGTTTGGAGTTTTATAGGAGAAAATATTAAGTAGAATTCAGATACTGAAGCTATGCTTTACTGGCAATTTTTTCAGTTTCATTTTGCCTCCTACACTCATGAATTTCAGTCAGGCAGAAAAGAAAATTCTCACTACTTTTAAAAAGAAAAACAAACAAAATAGCCACTAAAAGACTGGACCTGAACTTTTACTGCTGAACATACAAGCCCAACATTTCATCCAACCTTTTTCATTTCTTCAAGATCTGTTTGCATTCTGCTGCTAGAATTACCTTAGTCACATTTGTCTTGATGTAAACAGAGCTTCCAAGTAGTCTTACACTATACGTGGGAGGAGAAGAGAAGAATTCATGCAAGCTACATTTTCACATGGGAGGCTTATGTCAATTAAAAGCTGATATATCTGTAGGGCAATTTTGTAAAACTTATTTTCATTTCTATTTGTTAACTAGCAAGGGAGGGATAAAATCACATCTGAAGTCTGAAATTAATTCTGAGATTCTAAAATGGGAGACTGGGAAGACACCAGCAGTGTTTACCAACTGTCAAATCATCCCTCTTTCTCAGACATGCCAGTGGAGTACCAACTACAAACAGTAAAATACCATTTTTTTCTCTCTCAGAGCCAGTAGTGTGGAGCAACAAAACTGGTATCATTCCTTACATACATTCCAAGAGAACGGAACTGGTCATAACACCACACCAAGCACTAACCTAAGAGTACTAGTTTAAAGGTCACAAAAACGTTCATGATGACTAAGGATTTGAATCTCTCTAAATACTTCACAACAAACAGGAATTCTAGACCATTAGGTGTGTCTTGAACAGATTTGAAATCTACTGCTGCTGAAACAGCACTCTGAGTAGATGCACATGCAAACTCCACCAAAATCTGGCTTACTTGATCAGTATAAATCTGATATGGAAAGCAGGATTAGAATGTAAATACAGCTTGACTAATATCCCTTGATTAATAGCTTAGGATTGCCAGAGCACTCAATTTGTGCAAGAAGCTTTCATAGAGCACGACTGTTGACTAATGTCAGGTGGTGGATGTTGTTTGTTCTGGTTAAACCAACAGAAAACTTATATACATACTCTGCCAGATTTTCTTTGGGTATTTTTAAGGGCAACAGCCTGAGTAAAGGAAAATAAAAGATGTTTTTATGGGTTGCACAGAATACATACAAATGTGAAGAAAGTAGTTGAACTGCTTGTTAACTGAGCCCTAATTCATTAAAAAAAGGGAAGATCTTTGGTGTGGAAACTAATTTTTGCATTGGTGTGCTAGAAGAGAAGGAAATCAGCATGCAAGGAAATGATTAAGTTTCAGGCTAAGACCTAGGTACATGTAACACTGCAGACTATGTCAAAGCTTCCATTCTGGTCAAGATCTTGTTGGGAATGTTAACAGCAGCTTGAGCTTCATTCAAGGTACTCACACACAGGCCCCATTTGAAGGGCCATAGGAAACAAGACATCTGCACAAGACAGGCAGATGCAACACAAGATCTACAGGCTCTCTGGACTGTATCGATCAGATGCCCCTGGCTATAACATGAGCTTAGACGCCCATCTCACCTGCAGACACCTAAATGTAAGCACGAAAATCTGAGTATCGATTTCAAATTGAAATTCACCCTAAGGAGAGTAACTCCGTTACCTAAAATGACACCAACCACCAGTGTTCAAGTGCTGCAGATTACTCTGCTTGACTTCCAACTGCTACTCTAGTATAACAGTTGTCTTGCCTAGGGCTAGTACATTTCAACAACAGTGGCACCATACCACCATATGTAGGTAGCTGAATCCTAAACTCAATGTCTGAAATCTCCCAGCTAAAGCTCTCATCCCAGACACCTCGACAGTAAGAGCCTACTGAAAATATGAAATATGTAGAGGGTACATCAACTAGTCTTTGTTAAAATAACTATAATTACTTTGAATCTTTACCATACATTATGTGCACTAGAGTCCTGTTTCATTACCCATTCTCCCCAAAATCTGTTTGTTATCAGGAGGTATCATACAACGGCATAGTTGTTATATAGGCAAGTTGTTCTATGTTCTTTCCCTCCGCAAATTTAAACGCTGTAATTTTTTAATAAATACATTTAATGATTTTAAAATTAGCAAGGAAATCCTTCCTTTTAATTAATCACAAGGAGAGATAACCGAGATATGTACCTAAAATATTAAAAAGTATATACTCCCCATAAAACATTTTTGCCAAAGTGATGGACTGCACTACATAGAATACAGTACAGCTAAATCACCAGATTTCCCCTTTGCATGCAAATATTGCTGGATCACCAAAAAAAAAAAACAACACGAAGCGCTAAAATTAATAATCTGAAAAATTATTAGACTACCAACTTAAGTTTTCTTAAACCAAAACACATGAATGCTGTGCGCTGTAAGTATTCACTTTTGTGCTTTTATTGATGGCAAACTAAAATTCCAAAGAGCTGGAAGTACTAAACTAAGCAGATGACAGAAGCAACAGTCAGGTAGACATTGATACTATTAAAAAAGTGAATTTAATGAAGAAATAGGAATATTTTTAGTGCTCATAAGCATTGCTCCATGTGAGATACCCTTGACAGGGGCAGGTGCTCCCACAGCACATGCAGAATCCTCAGAGACAAAATAGTATAGCAACAGGATTCTGTACTGCAAACAGGTAGAATAACCACTTCAGTGGGGGTCCCATATATTTATAGTATTTTTGTGAAATCACAATCCATGCAGTCACCTCATAGATGAAATATCAGATGAGACATGCTAATGACACAGTAACTGCATACTCTTAGTCAAGCAGTGTTTAGTATTTTGAAAAATCTAGGTGGGAAGTGTTTTTCAAATGACAAGGATCTGATACATTCAAAAGTAAGGGGAGAAGCTACTGTTACAGGGAGAGATGAAATGCCTGGGCATACAGTCATGTTGCTTCCCAAAGTTTTATACATCTTTTCTGCATCCAGAAACCAAGTTTAACATCTGCAGAATGACAGACTGGCTTAAAAAGGAACAGTCCAGAAGGACTTTGATCTGGGGTTTTTTTGGTAGATAATCACTTCAGAAGTTCAGTACCACAGTACAACAAAAATGGATTAATAGAATAATGGCAAATTTAAGAGATGAAATTAATATCACAGGGAAAAGTAATCTTGACTTAGTTGCCTTGATAGCAGCCACACCATTTTAAATGCAGTATTTAGCTCTAAGACTGTCATTTCCAGAAGCATAATGGATTTAAAATGTTGAAGGAGGAGCACAAAACATTGCACTTCAGATTTCAAACTGGACATACTGAACCTTGAAATGATATGCTAACTAAACTGCAAAGATCATTAAATATTACAAACATTGTAAAAGAGAAGGGCTGTGGACACATCACTTGGAGTCATTTTAAAAAAGAATTACATAGCTTTTTATGCTATGCTTTAACACATTTTTGAAGAGAAATTTTACAGCCTAGATGACAGCAGTATGAGTCCAGTCACGCTTCATGATTTTACTTGCATCTGGTTAAGTTTGTGATTAAATCGTCCACCATTTTTCTATACTACCTTCACATAAGAAGCCTGTGCTGTCTTTAGCACCCTTAACTTCTACAGCTACACATCAACATGCTGATTATAATCATACCGCATGCTTCAATCCTAGCATTACAGAGCTCATACCTTGAGCACAGCAAAAGTGAGAGGGATCTGGATGCACTAGAAGCCTAAATCACTTAGCAATTAACACTTTGTACCTACATTTTACTCAATCTTCCCTAGTACTTTGAAGATTTTTCCCTATCCCCAGGGTAGGCTGACAGACTTGGTTTCTGGAAGAATGGATGCATTAATATTATGCCACAGCACTGAGTGAAGTAGGATTTTTTTTTCTACCTGCTGAGATCATAAGAGTATTTAATCTAATCCGTTCTCTTTTACTAAAGAGTCCTCCGACAGCAGTTGACAGCTTTGTCCTCCTGTTCTATACCAGGTTTAGTAAGAAGAACGAATTACTTTGGCTTACTCCAGAAGGTATAATTTTAATACTAAAATACGTGCATGAAACAGTGCCACGTGTTGTAAGAGAAATGATTCTCTGTTTTTAAGTTCTGTGGAGGCATACTACCACTCTGAATGCAGAGAGAAACCATGGCTGAATGTGCTTTTAAGGCTAGATGGCACTGGGAGGAAGTAATAACTACACAGAAGTCTTCACAGGTGTGCTGACTTGTAGCTATCACATCACGGTACAAAACTGTCAGGTTGCTACAACCTCTAAGTACTCTTAACATCAAAACTGTTTACAACAGCAATCAATCAATTTACACTCTCGGATTTGAAGAATGGCTGTAACTAAGAGAAATTCAGAAGTTAAAACTGCCATTTGAGTAAAAGCCTTTATTCGTGTTTATAAAAACACAAGTTATTTCATAAAAATGTACCATAAAGAATAAGAATAAATGATATTTTTAACCAAAAGAGACACTAAGGAAAGAGACTGTCTGAAAACAGACACATCTGTTAAAAAAAAAAAAGGGGGGGGTGGTGGGGTGGGGAAAGCAGGGCCTTGCTCCAGAAAGTTAGAATCATGATTTACAAGTAACAACAACAATAAAAAAAGAGCCTGCCTATTAAATAAAGCTAATTACTCAAAAACAGTCATATAGATCAGAGTGTTTAGCATTAAATCTCTTTCATTTGTAATTTCAAACCTTTGTACAATTAAATTGACAGTTTCTGAGCAAAGGTTAAGTCTGCTGAATTGAGTGTTAGTTTGAATACAGACACTGTTTAATCACAACCACAAACTACAACCTGCCATGTTTCTGTTAACACAGCTTGACATTAGGAACTAAATGATAAAAAAGGCGAAAACACTGATTCAGTGTCACCTTACCCCAGGCTCCTGTCCTGAGTAAACTGTCTCCATGTGCCACAAGACACACAGAGCTTTAGAACTTAATCTCTAAACTATGGGTATTGTTTGTTTTCAATATCTATTAATGAGTTCTTAGGATTTTAAGAAAAAGGTTGGTTACGAAAAACTAAAAAGAGCATCATGGATGAAGTTTTTCTAGATGCATGATTTATATTTCGTTATTCCTTTTGACTTGCTGTATTTAAAGTCTTTTTAAGGATCTCACTTGCTTTGGAACAGACTTCTTGCACTAGTCTGAGAACTAGGGGATCTGTTCGGGTCAGTACATGGTCAGAGCTCCACTACATCAAGCAAAGATGAACAGAGAACAGCTTCACCAAGGGCTGGAAAAACAAACTCTTGCTGCCTTCCTGACCACCCTGCAATGCATGGGTTTGGCTGTTTCATACACAATTTAAGGTCCCTGTGATGGCTAGATGTGTTGTGAAAGGGTTAAGATTTGTTCAGTGATTTGACTACCTTTTTCAGTAAATAAGCACTTTCCCATATTTTCAATAATGAATCATTTTAAATATGGTACAATATACAAACAGATCAAGATATATATTATCCCCTGTACTTCCAAAAACTTAATTAATAGAACTTCAAGGCCAGCTTTCTTACATACCATTATAAATAATTTTTGAGGGATCTGAATAATGACTTAGAGAAAATATTTGAATCATAGCACTGATTACAAGGCTGTACCTCATGTTAGTTCAAGGAATAGAGCATGCAGTATACATTCAAAAAGCAAACAGCTACAATGGACAAAACACGACAAATGAAACACTAAAGTATGTAATAGAAGAAAGTGACTTGATATATGTTAACAATATTAAAATATCAGTGAAGATCATACTTTTTGGTTACAATTGGAAAAAACACATTAAGAAATTGTTGAAAAAGCAAGGTTAATCTTTCAGTTTTAACATTCTTATAGTTAGCTTCCTAAGGACAAAGGAGTAGTTCTTTATATTGAGGTTCTTTTTTTAAATTATATCTTCTTATGGCCACTAAGATCACCAATAGGCAAAATCTTCTGAAACCCACCATGTAAGCAAAAAACCTTTAGTCCAAGAAATTTGCCCAAATAAAGGAAACAAAGGGTAGAACACTTCAAATTCTATTCTTGTTAAGTTTGTTATACAAAGTGATTTTAACACAAAGCTTTAACAAATAAAATCAGAATATACTTACACGTAGTAATTCTGTTATACAGAACCCTTAATGTGCTAGCTAACAAGGAGAATGAAAAACAGTAAGGGGATATTCACATTGCAACTTTTAGATATTTAACCCTTATTGTACTGCAAGCAGAAAGGGTTAAGCTTCTTCCAAGCAACAATTCAGACCATTTGGGTTTGCATACATTCTTCACAAAGATATAATGAGTAAAAAATTAGTCACCTAAAGCCTGAGGGTACAAATATACTATTTCACTTGGTGTATTTTTATAATCTGTGCCTAATTTTCTCATAAAGTCTGTGGTTTAGTTCTAGTCAGAAGCTTGTAATACTTATTTCATATCCCAGTTCTTTAATTCAAATCTCAAGCATCTGACAAGAAAAAGAGAACAGCATAGAAAATACACTGAACTGTCCATTTGTCTTTCCAGAGAGTCCTCAAAATTGCAGATGCTATTAAAGAGTTGCAACACTGAATCCAGTCCTGGAAGAGACAATCATCTTGCAAGTCAACTTCTGAACGAATCTTGGGGACCAACTGGGCAGGGTAACACCTGGGAGACTAGATTTAACAGCAAGATTGATCCAAAGAGTGTCTATGGTCAATAAAAAAAGTAAGTTTTTCACCAAAGACCTGAATTCCAAGAATGAGTTCTCTTAAATGCCTCTCAATGACAGCAGTCAGGATTGCCTGCAAAAGTGGCTGACATTGAGAACTGTGAAGGTATAGCACCTCTAAAAAGCAGCTGAAACTGCAGCTTGGTCTGGAACCTGAGGACTGTTCCTCAGCTGTAGTTGCCTTATGCTTTCTGTGATGACAACTGGAGGAAAAAAAAAAAGAAAAACAGGGAAAGAAGAAATTTTAGCATTTGTCTGGAGTTTGCCAGACCAGTGGCAAGTTCTCATTACAATTCTACCTACATTTGTGGATCATTTGGAACTGGAAAAATATTTATCAGGTAAATCTCTGTTCAGTAAATTTCACTCAATGTGTTCAGATGGGCAAAGGTATTACTGTCAACATCTTATCTTGTATTAACACACAATAAGTCACAGAAAAAAGTAATTACATTCTAAACTTGCACATTAAGATTTGATTTCCTTTACAAAGTACCCTTCCCAAATAAAATTGCATGTGATCAATATTTACACCAGGATACAAACAGCTTTAGCTAGGTGTCTTTATAGAATATCATTGCTCATATCTTACACTTAGGCCTAAATTCAAGATGTTATGAGTAAGAAGAAATTTCAAGAATAAATGAATAAAGTAAACTGGAAGTTAATGGAATTATGCCAATCCTTATATTGCACTGGACTAATGGTGCTTTGGGATTATTTTGGTCTATGCCAGAGTCCTTCTGCATTCTTCCAATGAGACCATGCATCACTTCACTGAACATGCCGTCCCCACCAACACAAACAACACTGCCAGGAAACACAAATTAGAATGCACACTAACAGTCAATAAACAACACAGCAAATGTTCTACTTAGGGCATGCACTGGGCACATCAAAAATAGTTGTTCTGTTCTCCTCCTCCATTTTTACAGAATATAGTAGCCCACAGTCAACTTTGCAATTAACAAAAAGCGGAAAAAAAATTCAAGCTACACAACTGCAAATGCACCTAGACATGTCCGTAATGTTAGAAAAAAAATGTTGGAATGCAACCTAAAAAAAAAATCTTTATCCTCTATTGCTGTGTGCAGACAGACAAATGTCAGTGGAAATTCACTATACAAGGAAAACACTGAACAGAACTGTACATACAGCTTTCTAAGTAAGCAAAATGGAAATAGGGTACCTTTACTAAAAAGGGAAAGGTAAGTTAATATTTGTGGCTTCAGGCAGAAGTATTTTTTACACTATTAATTTAATAGGGATATACATTATATGAAAGTCAAAAAAACAGAAAAGTGCATGCTTGCATGCTCTTTTGAACATGCTGAGAGCTCATCAAACAGACAGAAGTCATGTATATCTACATAACCATTCATAATGAAACACAGAGTTCTAAATGTTACCAGATGCAAAACTTTGTTTTGCAAACTTAATTCAGGTCAGAGCTGGTGCAGCAGCTACACAGATCCTCAATATGTTAAAGCTCAGCAGAGAGTCCACAGCCAAGCAAATACTAGGAAGTAAAAGACTATTTTACAGCAGTATACATTTCATGCACAATAATCAAATGCACACCCTGAACTCTAAAAGCATAAACATTCTTTAACTGAAAACTAATTCAAATACACTTCAAAGGAACACATGACAAATCCAAAGTTATGCATGTAGTCCCCAGCATACAGGTTTAGGAATGTTTACTGTTATCTATAGCAATCATTTCCAATGCATAAACTAATACTTACTCTTCCACATAGTCAGCAACAGATATTGCAGAATGAGCACTTATTTCATAGGATAAGTTACTTTATTTAAATTTTAAGTATTGGTGGTTTAAATTTACTTATTATTGTATTTTCAGCAGAAGGAAAGCTTGACAAAACCTAGTCATTTTTTCATGAATGGAGAGGACAGTCTTAAAAATACACTGTCCAACTCTAAGTCAAGACCTGAGAGACTGGGAAAGAAGGGAGAAAAGGATGTTTGTCTTTCCTTTTTTATAATTAATTTCTCTTCTCATAGCTTAACTACATAATTCCTCAACTTTAGCCATCTCATCTTTCTCTGCAGACTCTAAGAAAGAGGTTAAGTGGACAAAAATTTCCACATCAGTTCAAGGTCAATGTTGTCTCAGTAGTGTTCTATTTATAACAAATACTATATCCAGGCTCAGAGATGACAATGATATGAATGCCTATACCTATCAAGGGTAAATACTGACAGATAAAGAAGTTCATATACACAATACCAGTATGACCAAATTTGTTGGCCATTTGTTGGTCAACCATTCTGTGAACTAATTCAATAACTAGGGAAAAAAATCAATCTGAAACAGTTTTACAAAGGCTTGTGCAACAGGCATATAGATAAGGAAGCACAACAATTCATACATGTCAGACTTACTCTAAGCATGGTTGTTACCTGCAGAATATTACAGCACACTAGTTCTGCACAACGATGTACAAAAACCTGCCATATCTTAACTGAATGAATATTTTAAGTAATTGTTTTCAAAGAGAAGCTGTTCTATCACTGAGCTATTAGATTAGTACACTCACCATAAGAAATTCTTGTAAGGGGAAATGGGAAGAACAAACAGGAAACGCATAAGAGGTTTAAATAAGCTGTCTCAAGTAAACACACTTGGAAGGCAGTGAAGCCGTTTTCATTAAGAATCCTGTACCTAATTCCAAAATTACAGGCATGGCTTTGCCAAATAGGGAATCTGGAGGTTAAATGAAGAATGAAGGGGAAAAAAACTCAATCACTGAATGAAGAGAAAGTCACTTATCAGAACCAATTTAAAAGGACAGGTAAACAACGACTAAGTGTAGGAATCTAAAGCTTTTCCTGTATGTGAGAAGAGTCAACCAAACTTGAAGAAATACATGCATTTATGCGGTTCAACCATTTTTAAAATCTTCCATGTAACCATGTGATCTGTTATTTAAAAAGTAGTATTAATAGAAGAACCCCTTCCTAACATTACTGTTCACCACAGAAACAGACTTGTACATAACAGACAAAAATCAGGCTTAGAAAGACATGTTGCAGTTCGCAAGCTAACTGCCATTAAGGCCCAGCCTGGGAACAGAAGAATCAAGAGATTCTAGAAAGATCCAGTTCTCTGGCCAACTGTTTATCTCAGTCATGTTAGAGAGAGTAAACCAAAAAACCCCACCAAAGCACAAAAAAGAAAAAATTCTACAGTAAGAGACTGATTATGCGAAAAACACTTCAGGTACCACCACAATTGGTCACGGCCACTTGTTGTAAAAAACAATTTCCTAGGAGTGGACAAGGGCTCACTTGCATCCCTTTTCTGCCCTGTATTGGAATTTCACCAACTGTCAGTATTACCTATTTCAAATCACTTAGGTCCAATGAAAAGGAAAAATCTTAAACAACTAGGTTTTTCTAGGATCCCAGTTTCCCTTCCTTGCACTTCTGCAAAATTAAGAAAAATCCCAGTATAGTCAAAACTGCTTATTTAAAGTCAACTGATTTTAAAGCGGGTGAAGTCTAGGAATTCAACCTGTGAATGTAGTTTCTTGCTACCACAATCTGTCAACATCATGCCCTCACTCAATGTATACAATGCATATAGACCTGCTCCCCTAGCAAAAGTACTCTGAAAAGATAGAAAATGTTTTATTTTTGCAACTTACCATTTTAAATGTACCTGTCTACAAGCACAAGAAGATACTATTTTAAAATACTGTAGTTATGAGAGTTTACCTGCATAGATTCTGCATACATTTTCATGATTTTCCAGCTGTTGAACTTGTTTCATGTCATGAAACAGAAACTGGAATGACTAGCTTATTTATTAAAATATTCTGCTTCTACAGCAAATTTAATAATGGAACGCAATTTCACCATTCGGTTAGGTCTTCTTTTAAAACAGTAATTCCACAACAGAACAAACACAAATAAAGCCCAGTGATGTAGCCATTATTTGAACAGTCCTACATAGTAAGAGGAGCTATCTGAAATGTTTCTAAACAGCTCATGGTTTTTACACACAAGCTGAATGCTACTGATGCAGTGTTCTGGACTCATGTATATGCCAAGATCACCTATACCACAAAACATTTCAGGGCAGCTTCTGAGCTATCACAGAATGGTCAACTTCTAGACAAGCAGAAGTAATCTTACATTTAGCTTTTGAAGACAAATCTCATGCAAACATTGTTATACTATGCTTGAATATATTGTCTGTTGAACAGGTTTACTGAAACAGGTTAGTTTTCCTTTGATACTCCTAAAAGTCGATTTCCTATGGAAAGGAATATGCCCCAGAACTTTCAGCTGTTGTAATAAACATATCAGCAATGAAGGCTACTATTTTAAATTAGAGACAAGAACAGACAGATTACAGAACACATCAGCTAGAAAAGGAAAAAAAAAAAGGCAAGTGAAGTTACTTACCCATCATATTTATTAATATTAACTTCATATAAGTTGTCCTTAGCATGGTTAGCATGTTCAGTTACTATGAAGAAATAAACACATTAAAAATTACTGTTATAAATATGCTATTATAAAATGGTATATAACATACAATTATTAAAATGTTATTATTAATTCATTAATAACCATGATTCTATTACCAATGTCATCATAAAACAGCCTGCCCACAAAATGTGTTTCAAAAGATTTTATGCCAAGGAAAGAACTGAGAGACACATGCACTGCAGTATATATGGAAAAATATTTCACTAAAAAATTGTGCAAGTGAACAATTGGTTTTAACAGTAAAACTGAAAAAGAGGAGAAAGACAGTATCTTACAAATGAAGAACTCAAATAGCTCGGAAGTACCAGAAATTTTAATTTAGTAAGCAGAAATTTGATATAAGGTCGTCATTTATCTGGCTACCTGTGCTTTAATTAGAAAACATTCCCTCTCTACCACTTAGTTTCATTTACTTAGTACGAAAAGGTAGGTAACAGAAAGAACTTAAGCTACTCAGAGATGTTTTAAAGAGTTCATATTATGTTTATTAAAAAATTAAAATATTCATTACTCACTAACAACATCAGTGGCGATAGAAGCCAGACTGAAGAGTGGAGCAACTTTCTGTTCATAAATCCTCTTCCCTTGTCGTTTTCCTCCATATGGATTAATATACACAAGCAACTGCTTTGGTCTAGACTCTGCAGTATGGAAAAATATTATAGTACACTGCTTTTGTACACAAAACAAAAATTCAACAAGCTAAACAAAACCAAACCTGTAAACAAAGTGAACACAGCATACAAGCCTTTTATAACTCTTATTAACTCTTATAACCCTATAACTCTTTATAAAAGAATTCTAAACACCTGCTTCATCTATTCTTTCTTATGCTGAGTATACTGACAGTATGGAACAAATTGGTAATAGGAGAGCAGGTGAAATTCAGAATCATTTCACCTGACTCCATGTCTCACATTCTTATGCATATTATTCTTGCAGTACTTTCCCACTAAATAACGTTAGTATCACAGGCATAAAAGACAAAAGACGAACCAATGGCAGCAATAGAAAAGGCACTTGTCAGTGAAGCATACATAGAAATACTTTAACATGAATTCATTTAAACAACATTCTTGCTTTGATAACATAGTTAAAATGCATTTCCTTTCAACGATAAAGACACAGTAAGAATACCTCACAAAACTACATGCTGCACAGCAAGTGCTTGCCCTATAGTGTAACTCCTTCCCCCCAGAAAACACATTTGATACTACTATCTCAAGTTTCTTTGAATCATTATGGATTTACATTGGTGGTGGCATGAAAACAACGATTACATCTCTGTACTAACAGATACACAAGACATTAATGCTTGCTGCACCTAGAGAGCCTTCCTTGTTTATATAGAACACAAAGCCCTGTTATAGCATTTACACTTCCTCAGATGGCATTCTAAATTATTATTTTAAAAGAAAAGAATAAACAAAATTATTAGATCAGCACACTTGCATAATAAATCCACTCAATCTAGACTGTTTGAATGGTTTAAAGCTGCCACACACTCAAAGCGCCATTGACTCTCTCTGAGAACCTGTTACCTTTTCTGAAATAGTTTGTTACCAATAGAAGGAACACCTGCACTCAAATGGAGGTGAATGCCCAGGCCACATCTCTCACAGATGTAGGGAATGGGTGCACAAACCCCATTTTTGAAAAGATGTTATTGGAAGCCAGATACCTCACGTGTAACATATACAAAACAAAACCATTAGTAAGATGCATGCTTCCAATGCCTGTTAAGAAGAACTTTTTTTGTTAAGCATCCATTTTTATTCTGTGAGCCTTAAGTACTTGCTTGAGTCACACTGTAGGTGTATTTGTTTCCAGTCCCTTCTCCAGCTCTGTCTCTCAGACAGACCTCAGATCTACACCGTAGGTACCTTATCTGCAGCCCTGCCTCCAGCCCCATCTCCTGCTGCTCTTGTCTGGCCTCCCTGGATGGACCCGACTACTTTACTTCATCTGGGCTGTAAATGGGACCTGCTATCCCCATCCCTGCTCTGCCCACCCTGCTCAGATACAGGGGGACCGCACTCTGCTCCGCAAGGGCACTGCCTGTGCTATGGTCGTCTTTGACTTCCCCTCTGTCATGGAGTTGCTCTGCTCCTGCTGCTCCCTGACATCTATCAAGGTATCTCTTTCAGGAATAGCTCCTGAAAAACTACTTTTAGCCTTCCAAGAAGTATATGTCCAATGATTAATGGGAAAGGATTACTGGGAACTCTTACTACATAAGGCACATTGTTGATGACAGACTGGAAAGGTGAGAGAGACACACAAAAAGCCATCCATAAATCTTAAAATTGCTACAATCCTTGTCCTCAGGATTTACTTTCTCCAAAGCTACAGTCATTTAAAGCCTCTGCTAAGCTTCTAATGTGTCCCTATTTTGTGAAAATAATTTACATCTGGGCAAAATTATAAGACATCAACAGTCCTGACTGATTAGAGTAAAACACTCAATACAACTTAGTCAATATGTGAGATGCAAAAGTAGTGATAAGAAGAATGAGACACTTCAACTCTCATTTCCCTCAACTTTTGAGCATTAGGAGTTCAAAAAAGCAGATATATCAAAATAATATTAATTGACATACATGCCTGTAAAATGATGCTGCAAATGTTAGTAGTTTAGTCCAACTTACTCTGCATTTCAAGTAATTCTTTCAGCGCCTGTACCCACTGATTACACAAGTGCTCATCAACACACCAAAACGTTACATCACTGCACCGCCAGCGGTGATTTCGGGCTTTCTTCACATAGTACACTATTTAAATTTTTAAGAGAGAGAGAGAGAGAAGAAGAAAGAGCACAGTGAGACAGTTCTATGAAATGACAAATGTATTTCAGACAGATGACAAAAATATCCATCTTTGGAAAAAAGTGGTAATCAACCCCAACTACACATTTCTGCAAACGACAGAAGCATTCAGAGTGTGAACGGGACATTTGTAAAAAGTCAAAATGATACAGAAATGAAAACACTCACTCTAGGTCATTATCTTATAGCAGATGCCCAAACATAAACTTCTTTTTGAACTGAATACAATCCATCTTCCATAAGCTGACTATAGACATACAAAAGTTCACTGAGTTTATATATTATTTTATCTGTATTAAAATCTGCAATGCCTACATAATATAAAATGCCATAAGCTTAACAGAGTAAGCCAAACCCTCACATCAGCTCCCATGGAACCAACAGGGTGAATTTAATTTCATAAAGCTGAAATTTCAGAAAAAAAGATTTAGAGTTTTCTTGTGCATTAAGAACTAGGCTGGTGAGACAAGAAGTACCCTTACCTTTCCATCTACAGTATCATCAGTCTGTATTACTGAAGGACTAAATGTGAGGAAAGTACTCCACAACATAAAGTTTTTGCATGGGAGCAATCCCATTTGCCATAGCTTTGCAGCACAGAAGTTACCACTCTCTCCCCAAAACAAACAGAAATTTATTTCTGGTACTTTGTTTTAAGAATGAAGTCAATTAATACAAAGAACCTTTACATGCACACATTCTGATGGTTAGGGATAATTTTTAAAAAAACCCAAACATTTAGGACTCATTTTTTCAGCCTCTCTCTTGATTTTTTAGTCAAGCAGTAGAAAGCAAGTGTCCTGCTGCAGTCATTCAGGAGCAGAAAGTAAGACATTAGTTAGGACTTCATTAAATAACCCAACACCACACGTGTTCTTAAAGGAAGGGTTTTATTTTCCAAAATAAGGATCTTTAAATGTAAACTGGCAGATTTTTGGTGGAGGTTTTATTTGTTTGATTTTGTGGGTTTTTTGTTTGGTTTTTTGGGGGTGTGTGTTTGTTTTGGCTTTTTTAAATGTATCATTTCTGTTTAAAAAAATTCTGAAGATTCATTTTGAGTCTGCCCTAAAGTACCTCCAACAAAGTAATTTGCACAAGCATCCTGAGACTGCATTTGCCTTACCTGTGAAAGCATGTGGCTTTGCCATTTTTTGCCATTTGCCAACATTACGCTGTTTCTTGTTAGGTTCGGTTTCTTCTACAGCAATGATCTCAGAGGTCGGTACAAAACAGTTTTCTGTATGAACACAAGATCTTACACATTAACATCTTCAAATAGCACCAGAATGATTATTTCTACACACAATATGTTACAGACATACAATTAGAGTAGCTGCTCAATAAGCACAACCAAGACCATATGTAGAAATTTGCTGAATATTTTCAATTTCCTTTTGCCTTTAGTCAAAGCACATAAACCACAAGCACCTATGAACTACCCCAAATAATTTTAAATTTCTATGATTTCTCAGAAAATTAGGTATTCTAAGTATAAAAACTTTTTTGCATGAAGCCAAAATCCAGCAACACTGGTTTCAGAGTAATGAAATTGCCCCTTCAATGACGCCTAGTCCAGATATTTGACAGTGAATAGCACAAGCTATTTCAAAGAATGTGCAACTAAATCTAGTGCAGAGACTACAGAGGCTATTTGTTATTCTCAAGTAAGTGGTTGGCTTATGAAAGAAGGGCATTCATATGAACGCTTAAGACTTTAAATCCCACTAAGCTTTTAAACTTCAGGATCACCTAAGAAGCAAATTCTAGATGTTATGTTTATGTACTGTTAAATATATTTCCCTTGTATCAACTTCAAAAATATTGTTTTTCAGAATTAAAGGCCTCTTGCTCTTACGCTATGAAAGAATTTCCTCCACCCTCACTCTTTTTTCTTTTATAGTCCCTCAACACCTTCTCAGTCTTCTAACTCCTGTGAAATTGAGGATATTCTCATTTTCATTACGGGTTTCAAAATTTCTCTTTTACCTTATCTCAAAAAAAAAAAAAAAGCAGAACTGAAAATTCATGCTTCGTACTTACGTACAAGCAAGCACTCTGTGTATATATACACACACAAAACACTTTATTACATGAGATTATAATAATATAATCTCTCATATAATAACAAGTATAATATGCTTGTTTCTCTCATATAGAGATAGATATATAGAAAGATATAAAAAGATATTAAACACAAAATACAAACACTAATACTGTTGTTACTGGGTTTTATCCTACATTTCATCTTCCTCACTATTTTGCAGAAGTACCATGGTGGTGGTGAGGAATGTAAAATAAGCAAAAAATTTGCCTGAGCTCTTCACAGCGGTGACTACAATTCATTTGCCACTAGTTCAATTTTATTGTTTTTCCCTGTCCTATTTATTTGTTTTAGTCAACAGAGTGGTTACCTATTGTCATGTCTATTGACATGTTGTGGACCACACACACACAAGGGTTTTTTTTCCTTTACAGGTGTTTTAGTATTTGACTTGATTTATATTCCTTTAGGGATTTTATCTTCCCAGAGGTTTTTAGCTTGACTCCAAAGAAATGTAGCTTCCAAATTTTACACTGAGGTCTTCTAGGAATCTGGCTGTGTTTGAACGTTTTAACTACTTACAGAACAAATTTCGGCTTATAATAATTTCATTTACTATATTTAAGGCATGATGGGGAAATGCAGCAGTCACAGAATGTCTTTTTAAAGATCCAACAGCAGAGATGAACTTACTAAAAACACTTTACTTGTATACAGATATAGATATTGCACATATACCCATGTAAGACTATATCAAGTATTTAATATTGGATAGTAACAGTTAATTGGTCTTCCTAACATTCAGAGAAAAGATATGCTATGTGATCTCAATATGATTATCCACCTATCCATTTATACAAGGAAAAAATACAGAACAGAGATGGAACAATAAATTAAGGGAAGGGAGCACGTTCTTTAAACTTTCTTCCCTAGAACTGTTCCTAGTTCTCATTTTTCTACTGGCTATGCCACCTATCCATATGTCAGAATATGAAAGAAAGCTTGTTGCATTTATAAAGATTGCACTTGAGTGTTAATTCATTTTGTTGTTGCTCACAGATATGCTACAAAACTGACAAACTACATCTAGATCAAAATTTAAATGACAAAGCCTAATGAACATTTTGGGAAACAGTTCTACATACTGGATACTTATTAGCCAGTACACTAGGAGGAGCAACAGAAGTCATTGTTTTATTAGGCATAATAAAGCTGTCCAACTGTACAGATAGCAAATAAGATTAAAAAGCAGTTCCAAATCTGTAACACTGAAAGCATTTCTTTGGAGTATATATTTCAGCACATATTACACAGCTTGTATTAACAATCCTAGACTTTGTAACCACTTCTGCTAAGCTCTCCTAATTCTTCAGATGTGTTCTCCCTCTGACAGTCGCATGACTGGAAGTTCTGCTTTTCCAGCAAATCTCTTCATAGATGCAGCAAAAAAGCAAAGAGTAAATGTTTTAGTTATATATGTGCATTTTTTTTCTTCAGCCACAAGAGTTACGTATCCGAAAACAACAGATTCCTGAAAAAAACAAAAACAAACCAACAAAACCAACCAAAGAAACCCAAAAGGAAAGAACAGAGTGATCCCACCTTCCCTCTGTAAATCTTTGGGTTCGGTAAAAGTTTCTGTTCTATGAATATCAGCTATGCTGACTGTGGCCCTCAGTACTACTTGGCACTGTACAAGCAAGAAACCACTCCACTGCCCTGATAGTATACTCCAATCTTAAGGTAGTCAAAACCACATGCTACCTAATACAGTAATTGCAGAGGGCCAGAAAGATGCAAAGATGTCTCAAATATAAACATGTTATTCAGAACATTCCCTAGAGCTTATAAAAACAAATCTGAGTGCAGTGGCACTTGTGTTTCAATAGAGCTCAAGAATTTCTATCAGTCCAAATATGACTCTATCACTATTCGACTTAGTGTTATACAGTATATTGTTTAATCAGAAAGTAAATCAACTACTTAGTCCCACCCTCCCCCCTTTTCCCTGGAAGGAGTTTCTATTGCAAAGAAATCAAATAGAGACCTTCAATACAAGCAGAACAATCCTGCTCCTATAAACACAATGCCCTCATCTGACATTTAATCACCAAAACCCACCTCACAAAAACAAGTAGAAGGACTATCCTGCCCTCTTTTGAAAGGTCAACAAGGTTCACATATGTACTAATTATACTCCTTTCCCACATCTACTTTTGTAGCATTTACCCCATTATCAAGGAGCATGAACCATTTCTTTCACTGGTTTATCATAAAGGTGTTCACTCATAAAGGCCTTCACCTTTATGAGTTTCTCTCAAAACATGGAAAATCTTACTGCCACATTAACAAAAAAAGAAAAGGTACCTACACCAGCACTACTAGGTCAACGTTAATGAAAAAAGTTGAACTATGGAGTCAGGCCATACCAAACACTTTCACTTGGCTCAGTACAATATACTCAACCAAGTAGCACACAACAGTTCCTAGACAAAATTCCAGGCAAAATACTGTGACTTTTTCAACATACACATCTAGATTCAAGAGACTGAATTTCGCATTCAGAAATACTGAAGTACATATCAATTTTCTTAAGCTTAATCTCAAAGATCTTCACACATTTATGTTTTCATGTCACACCTTGTTCAACGTCTAGCATACACGACACACTAAAGACAATGAGGTGTCCACCCAGAGCAGCTGGATGAAGGGGCATGGCAAAAAAAACCAAACAAACAAACAAACAGAAAACCAAAGAAAACACACAATGGACAGGTGACAGTCTTCCCAGCACACTGGCTGTGCCACTCATCACTCATTCTGGGCCATGGTGCTCTTACAGTCTTAACAGACATGCCTCCTGAAGTGCAAACTGACAAATCAGCAAAATACTGTGTTAGATATATACTACTTTTCCCCACACTAAGCAAGGGGGCAGAGAAAAAAAACAAAACAAAACACACCAAGGTAAGCACACTAACAGCGGGCTTTCTTTGTGAAAAATGTAGCCAGCAGTTGTGAAGTGTGTTCTTCTGTGTTAAGAAAGGCTTTGTGGTGCGTCATTGCTGTCTGCCACTCCCACAGAACACTTCCCGAGTTTATAAGCAAACTTACTCAGAACCCCAGTCAAGATTTGTTCATTCATCACTGCCAGCTACATATCCTACAGGCCAAATTCCTCCCTCAGAAATGTGTTAGCTCAAAGCAACACAGACATGTGCAAAAGCACAAAAACATCACTGATCACAGCATTTGGTTTATTCTTAAAATTCAGCTCAGGCCCATGGATGCAGTAGCATTCAGAATGAATTTAAATTATTAGTATACTCTTGTGACTTAAAAATATTAACAATTAAAAAGCTAGAGTGCTGATTTAAAGAAAAAGTATTTTTTCAGTCACTTTGGAAACTAGTTTAGTGTTACAGACCACATGAACAGTAAGTTATCTTGTCCTAAGTTTAAGCTTTGCCTTCACCTAAAAGCAAGAAAACAAGAATGTTTTCTATCAGAAGGTACATTGCATTATACTCATCGTGCACTACAGAAAGCTACATCTAATAAAGACCAGAATAAGAGAAAATGGTGGATAGGGATACAGAGCAGAATTACAGAGAATTCACGTCCTGAGGGAGGGGGAAGAAAAAAGGCATCATGACTAAATGATTTAATTCAAAACTGCGGAAGAGTCACAGAAACATCTGAAGGCCATGATCTCACACTATACAGCCAAGCATAAGGAAACTGGCTTTTTTTTTTTTTAAGTAAATCTTCAAGTATTTCGTAAACCAATAGACAATAGATCAATTCCTAATATGATCAGACACACAGTTGCTACTTCACATCACATATCTGAATTTGAATCAAATCACAGCAATTTGAACTTGGATCAATTTGCATATTTAAATCATGAATGTTTTCCCATTGATTTTTTTTTTATTTCCAGATTAAATCTTTTCAACTCAACTATGAATATTTCAATGGTAAAGCAAGAAATAAGATGCACTTCTTCACCGTAAGGGCGGGGGGGGGAACACCAAAAAGGTATATGCTGAAAAACATGTATAGTTTAATGTAGTGTATATCCATATTTGAATAATGTATCTTCCAGAAGATGACATATTCCAAAGAAAAATGCCTTCTAGAGCTATTATTCCGCACATCCTACCAGTTCAATGTAGTCAGTGGAACTGCCTAGAGAAAAGCAGGGTTCAGATTTCTACATGTGCCTAGTGCCAATTGGGAATGACTGATGAAAAATGACCTTGACTAAGGATGTGCCAACACACTGCAGGTGCTGGACAGACCTTGTTTCCAAGCAGACCCACCTCTGCTCTCTCGGTACTGTGTTTATCAAACTGAGTATTCTTTAGAATGCACATCATCAGAATGGCATCAGCCTTGTGAACACTAGTACTGAGGCTTCCTCAAGTGGTTGTTTTGGGGGGAGAGCTGGAAAAGACACACCAAGGGAGAATTCTGAAGGACGAAATAGAAGGGCTAAAAGAAAGTGCACACAATAAGTGAAGAAATACAGTCCAGTGTCCAGCTTGATCACCCCCTTCATACTTGTACTTTACAATTAAAAAAAACAGAAAAACATCAAGAAAATCTCATTCTGTGTTTGCAATCCCTTAGTACTAGTACATGATACAATCTTAGCCAATACTTCTAAAATACCTGTAAGTACATATGTACAACATATAATCTGCTATGAAATCTGGTACACAAAGTTTTATCATGTGTTGCTTGAGAAAAACCTGACTGTGCCATCAACATCAGGAAATAATAAAACAATTCATCTGCCCAGCTTTGCAGATCAACTAAATCTCATGGTGAAGTGTTACAAGGTTGAAAAATAATGTTCTTCAGAATATTTGAAGATGAAGGGATGCCTAAGCAAAAAAAAGTGCACAGCTAAAAGTAAAAAAGACATGAAAAATTTCAGATAAAACTTTTCTAAGTTCAAACAAGTCTAACCAACCAAAGAATGGGAAATGGGAGCCTCCTTACACTGAAGACAGAACTTGAAAATATGATGCTGTTAAACAAGGTCTAACAGTAGGAAGGAACGTAAACAGTATTTAGGATTTAAGGTTTTAAAACCATACCATGGCTTGAACAAACATTTTATGTTTTTGTTATTGTTCGTATCTTCTCAATGATAGCATTAAAAATAATTCTCCTGAATTAATATTTCTTTATTCACAAAATGCATTTTCATAGAATCCTAGAATCATTAAGGTTGGAAAACACCTCTAAGATCATCAAGTCCAACCTGTTAACTGCCAGGTTCACCTCTAAACCATGTCCCTAAGCAACACATCCACATGTTTTTTGAACACTTCCAGGGACTGTGATTGCACCACTTCCCTGGGCAGCCTGTTCCAATGCC